CTCTCTCTCTCTCTCTCTCTCTCTCTCTCTCTCTCTCTCTCTCTCTCTCTCTCTCTCTCTGTGTCTCTGTGTCTCTGTGCCTGCCTCTGTCTCTCTCCTGGAGCCGCGGCCAGAACTTTGCACCCTCGTGCGGTTCGGTCGAACGGGAGTCGTGGGCTTTGGGAACAGTCGCCGAGAAGCCAGGGGAGGTGATGGTGCGTGTCGGTCAGGTTGTTTTGTTTTTTTTTAGTTTTTGCTTTTTCGGTGCCCCAGGGCTTTTGATTTAATTAGCTTATGAAATGTTGATGAAGTGACATTGTTCTGCTTTTCCTGCGCCCGCTCGCGCGCGTTTTTGTTTTCAAAAGAATTTGCAATGACATTTGCTTGACGTTTTAGCTGATTTTTAAATTTTTTCTTTAAAATATGGTCAAAGAGTACTTGGGTAGTACGGTGGTTCAGTCTGAGAAATAGGGAAATGCTTAGGACCCTGGTCCCCCTGCCTGGAAGAAAGTTGATTTAACCGGTCAGCAGGATCTTGGGGTGTTAGGAGAGGTTTCAGAGACATGTGGTTGGCCTGTAGACACGCTACAGATATTTCTTGGATAAATGAATGAGCAAATGGATACGCTTTAAAGAATGGGTAGGAATTCTGAGGGTGAAACGATGGGTTGGGTCTTTCAGGACCAGGGAACTGAATGCTTAGAAAGCATGAGAGCTGGGGAGGAAATGTTTTGACAGCAACTCAGTGAAGCCAGAAGTGAAAAAGCAGCGTTCAGAGTAGTAGACTGCAAACTTTTACAGCAGTGAAGCACTCCAACAAATGTATTTTCATTTACCGTTAATCTCTCTGTGCACGTGTAAACATGTACACGTTCATAGCATTAAACAGTACCTACCCTCATTGCAGTGTATTCTGTTATTTTGCTTTTCTATATAATAAAAAAGCCCCTGTTGTTACCCATATATTAAATTTCATAGCACAATAATTGACAGTGATGTGTGGTTTGAAATATATCCTCTTAGAAGAAAAGTGTAAATAAAGGCTAGGGGCTGATTATACTGGATGTATTCAGATGAATTAAAATACTCTGAGATTTCTAGATGAGGAGAGTGTTGTACGAAGGGTCGACTTGGACGAGCTTGAAAGCGCTTGCCCCCCCAGGCGACTTTGTTTTATCACAGGTCGAAGTCACTTTGCTTTTAAACATAGCTTTGATTTGAGGAATGTCATTGGAATTATACCTCTGAAACTCATTGTTGCGTTTACTGTAGAATATTGCTTAGGAGACATAGAATCAGTTTCTTGTAAGTTCAGCACAGGTACTGGCCCTAGTTCCCCTAATCAGTTTGGTTCTTTTCTCTGTGGATCCCTTCCCGAGTGCTGCTGATTAGGTTCTTCTATTGGCAAAGCCCAGAACCTAATTTGGGCCACATTCTAAAAAGGGTATAGTACCTTGGGGTGTAAATATTGTGTGCCTTCCTTCTTGCTTTTTGTCATTGTCTACTTTTGCCTTTCTTTTGCTCTAATGACAGTTCCACTTACTAGATTTCATGCTTTGTGTGTATTTTTGTTAGCCATGTTAAATCTGTTGGAGAGAGCTAAGTGGGTATAGGTGAATTAATACATGTAATTAAGCTTAAAGAATTGAGTTAGAATTGTGAGTAAAACTCTTGCTGTAATTATTTCAGGACCGGAAAGGAAGGCCAACCCAGAGAGTACTACACGTTGGATTCTATTTTATTTCTACTTAATAATGTGCACCTTTCTCATCCTGTCTATGTCCGACGGGCAGCCGTAAGTAGAATTCATTTTTAAACTTTTTAATTGAATCAATACTAGATGGTTAACTGCCCCTAATGGGTTTCAGATCAAAAGGATGAAAGTTTCTTGGTGGGCAGTAAGTAGAATATTGTGATTTATGTAGATTTTTTACGTGTAAAGTGTGGGTGATGTTTACAACAACAGAAGTTTTAAGGTTATTGTAAGGATGTTTTGAAAAATGTATGTGTCTGTGGAAGGACCCATGTATTCTGAACTCTAGTTTAATCTTTAGAAGGCTTTTTTGACATCAGAAAGAATTAAGAATCACAGACAACTTTTAAAATTAATTTTTAATCAAACTTCAGACTTCATTGATAAATGAATTTGTTTCCAGTTTTGCCTGATTTCTGCACTTCAGTGTTTTGAACACGACTTTTCTGAACAAGAAATACGTATTTAGTGTCAAATTTGTATTGAGAAAATAATACAGAGAGTGAAACTAGGGATTTGGGGGAAGAGGAGTAAAATAGCGGCACCGCTCTGTAAACCTATGTTAGTTCATACTAGATCTTTAAAAACTGAGTTAGGCAGTAATTAGAATGTTTTGTTGGCTATATCCATTCATTTTGGGTAATAAAGATAATCCATATACTCAGTTTACATTAGGAAATTATGCTCTTGAGACGAGTTGTAGCATATAACTGGTAGCTGTAATTGTAATTAGGGCCCTTGGACACCTAAGATTTAACTCATTTTTCTTAAATACTTGACAGATCAAAAGGGCAGGATTCTAGAATTCTAGGGTTCAACAGTTTTATTCTCCTGACTCCCTCTGTTGTTTGCCCGCTCTTCTGAGCAGACTGTTTATTGATTTTAGAGAGAGAAAGGGAGAGACAGAAACATCGATTTGTTCTGCTTATCTATGCATTCATTTTTTTTTCCCCCATTGGCTGCTGCTTGTATGTGCCCTGACAGGGGATCGAACTCGCAACTTTGCCATATCAGGACAACTCTCTACCAACCGAGCTACTTGGCCAGGGTCTGAGCAGACTATTTCTGAAATGCTTTCCTGACCCATAGTTCATCCCTATAATCCAGGACTCTGCAGAATGCACGCAGTGAATTTAAATCAGTACTCAGTGTAAGATCATTAGCCAGAGATGCTAAGGGTTCCTGTGATGTCATTGTTGCTTATATAAAGTGACAAAGGAAATTTAACTTCATAATCCTGCAGCGACCAGTTCTTCCTGTACCCTGTTGTTTGTTTATAACAGTGGTATGGAAACGGTGGTAATTATAGGATTTATTGAATTCATGGCTCAAAGGTGACTTGGTGCCTACAATATACAGTTTTATTTGTTTTGCTCACCTCTTTACAAATTGCTAATATAGGAGGTTAAAGGAAAATTATCCTTTTTACCAGAATAGATACATTTTTCAGATTTAGTTTTTTACTCTTTGCCCCCTGCATACAGAGTTCATGCACATTGAAGAATAAAAAGGAAATCTATAATGTAGGAAGTAAACAGCAGCCATTAACACTTTGCTGTATAATTGTCCAAATTTCCCCCCATGCCTAAACAACACATACCTATTATTATGAAAATTTAGTTTTCGTGGCTGTTAGTTTATTTGAAAGAGTTCATGAAGTTTTGAGGAGGTATGGTTTGTATGTGAAAAAAATAAAGCACTTTGGAAACATTGCATAACATGAGCAAGCAGTGGGACTAAAGCAATATTTGCCTCAAATACACAAACCGTCGTGAATAAAAATGAGTAAGCCAAGGAAACCAAGAAAACTCAAATTGATATTTTAGTTGTAAGACACCACTGCACTCAGACCAGCCTCAAATTGATATTTTAAAAAGAGGGGTTGGGTCGTTGTCTCATTTCTAAGGACTATCTTTTTAATATCATAATTGAATTTCAAGAGTAGAGTTGCCTCCCTGGCCATGTGGCCCAGTTGGTTGAAGTGTCGTTCCCCACACCAGAAGGTATCTACTTTGATCACCTCTCTAGAGGCAGCCTATAGATGTTTCTCTCCCTCACGCTCCCTCGCTCGCTCGCTCCCTCCCTCCCTCCCTCCCCAACTCCCTGTCCCTCTCCCTTCCTCTGAAAACCAGTAAAAAAAACTTAACCTTGTGATTAAAGAAAAAAACAGTAGTTACCAAAAGTTAATATGTTCAAACCTTTATCAAGATTTTTATTAGGTTTTTTTTAGCCTAATCATTTTTTAGAAATATGATTCTAAATAAATGTTGTCAAGATATGTTGGAGTAAAATCCAGATATTACATGATATTTTCTTTACCAAGTTTCTTGTAATTGTTATTGATTTGCTACCTAACTTAAAATTGTGATTTCAGACTGAAAATATTCCTGTGGTTAGAAGACCTGACCGAAAAGATCTACTTGGATATCTCAACGGTGAAGCATGTGAGTATTTTAAGTTGCTATCCCTCTTAAGTAGACATTGTGTCGTGTCCCCCCCCCCC